TTGTTTATACGTTCTGCTTGTCCAGGATGCTAAAATACCTCATTTCAAATGAAAAAATCCAAAAAATTCCAAGTCAAAAAAAGTCGGTATTTTCGGTATTCGGTATACCGATACCGGTGCATACCTACTGTTGAGTGAGCAGAAACAAAAAAACACGAAAAATACTAGAGTGAATAAGTGTGCACAGCTACAAATCTACACATACGGCAAGCGTTACTTTATGGGTAATATTCACAGGCGAGCCATAAAACATCGACCGCTCTCACTTTTATTTCGAAATCAAATGCCAGGTATATGTCAGACTACAATTGAGAAGTCGATGGGAGAATTCTAAGCCTGAAGCTGTTTTAGAAATAACAATCAAAATTTTTCTAAAGGGTTAAAAAGCTGTTAGCGTAGTTTCTATAACAAGTAGAGAGCGTCTTTACAAATAAAATTGCTGTGTACTTTTAAGCTCAACCTCGAAGCAAGTCTGAGGTGAATGATTCACCTTGATTGCATTATGTTCCCGAAGAGAAAGCCGGGCAAAACATGGTGAAATCAGTATGTCAGTTACCTTAGAAAACACTTTATTTTGAGAAGTCTTCTCGTATCGAAAGTTCTTCTGTCACTTTTTTTATACAGAAATCGCTATATAAGAGTTCACCGACGTTAAGATAAATTGTTTGTTAATTTTTTACGTTCATGTGGGGGAAGTACTTCAACTGTCTCTTTCTACACGCACATGTCTTTGAGAAATGTTTCTGATTGTATTAGTTGAAACTCTACTGGTTTGTGAGAACAAGTTGTTTGTGGGAACAAGAACTTAAAACGATGTTTTAACTAACAGATAAAATCGAGCTTGTTCCACTGACTAACACCCCAAAGTTGACTTCATTCGTAACTTATGAGCTTTCTCTCGATAACAATATGCATGGAAAAATCTTGCAGATCTTGTACATCAAGGGTTTTTTACCTGCTTCACGAAACCTTTCAATCTTGAAAAAAAGCTCTAATGGTGTTGCTAAACCGTCGTTTAAAATACCCTAAGGTTCAGTAAGACTAATAAACCCTTTACAAAACCTTTTAGGTTTTTAAGAACCATTCAAATACTCTTAATGGTTTAGTAACGTTTCCTAAACCCATTAGTGAACCCTTTCAGTTGTGTATACGTGCCCGCGACGCATTTTTTTCAGAGTTTATATTGTATGCTATAAAGAAGCACGATTCAATCTGCTGAAGAATAACAATATTGCATGGAATTTCTTTCGGTAACAATATATATGGATAAACCTTCTAAATTCTAGGGTTTCGGATGAATGAAAAACCGATATACTTGTTGACGAAATTGTAAGAAACCCTTGGATACTAAACCCCAGGGTTTCGTAAACTCAGAAACCTTTGAAGGTTGAATGAAAAACCCCATGGGTTTAGTAAAACACCCTGTTGAGTTTTTCGAGACAAAGTAAAAACCCACAGGTTTTTTACGTGTTTCGCGAAACCTTTCAATCTTCAGAATAAACCCTAATTGTTTTGCTAAACCATAGTTTAAAAAGCCGTAAGGTTTAGTAAGACTTATAAACCCTTTACAGAACCTTTTAGGTTTTTAAGAACGACTAAAATACTCTTACGGGTTTAGTAACCTATTAGTGAACCCTTTGAGTTTTGTACACGACGCTTTCTTTTTAGAGTGTATGCTAGGCATAGATTAGAGTTTTGCAAACGTCTTTGAACCTCACAATGGCTTTTGTAAAATCTGTCCGACAAAGGAAAATTCTCTACTGTACTCGTTCAGTATATCAAGTCTAACATGATTTTGAATCTCTTCTAGAAATATATATTCTTAAATGAGTACAATCTATAGAAATAAATAAAACAAAACTTTTACATTTTATATTTTACAGATAATGATAATATACATGGCAATGGAACATACTGTGACAGAAAAAAATAAAAATGTGTGTAAGATGCGGGCAATTCAAAAAGATAGCATGATCTCTTTTTCCCTCCTTTTTGACATGGTTGGATACAGCTCACTGAGTTACCTAGGAAAAACTTGATTTTAGGTTTTCAGAAGACATTTTTTGGTCAAATAGTTTTAAAATATCAATTTTTTAAAAGTGGACAAAAATGAGAACATTTTTCAATAATTTTCATGTTTGGTCATCGTTTAAAATTCCAAACCATTTTTTCTTATTTTCTATTCAAAACTGAGACTGGAAAGCTCCTCTATCAAACTCAACTTTTCGACAAAAATAATGTCATTTTCAGAATTAGTATTAAAAACTGAGTCGAAAATGTGTATCCAAAAAGGATAATTAATTTTTTTCCCACAGTATGGCAACTAGAATGAAATAAAAGAATGACTTTTATCTCCAAAATCTTTGGACTAGATAGGTTTCAAAAGTGACCGTCAGGCCCTTTACCATCCATTCTGCTTCTGTTTCAATAATTTGAAAAATTATTGAAAAATGTCTTAATTTTTGTCCATTTTTAAACTTTTTCACCAAAAAATGTCTTCTGAAACCTAAAATAAAGTTTTTTCTAGGTAACTCAATGAATTGTACCCAGCCATGACAAAAAAAGGGGGAAAAAGATCATGCCATCTTTTTGAAGTGCAGCACGTTACTAAAACAAAAACTCATATGTACAACACCGGTAGTAAATGTGGCATCTGTGATAAACTAAACTTGCTTGAGTATAAGTTTATAAAGACATATATGTTTCATTGCTTTATAACTATGCAAACATATTTGGATCTGTATTTGTAGTTTTATGTCTGATATTCAAGTGTAAGCTATTTTTTAATAATATAAGAAGCCAATATTGATACAATGCCAATAACATGGTTCCTAAAGGCTCAGGTACTTTTCAGACATTCTAATATTAAAACAATTAATGTAATAACGTGTCACGCTCACAGGCTTTTAAGTAGATTGACCTAGTGTAATGTATTTGCTCTAATTCGATCTTGTCGTTCTGTTACCGTAATCATTTTTCGATTATTACATCCATTTTCCTTTTGATGTTGCTGAACAATATTCTTAAACTGCTGATTATGTTGTTGTAATGGTAACGGTAATCGTTGAGAATTTTTCTTTTTAACATTTGCAAAATATAATCTACAGGTAATATATTCATAGAGTGCTAAACGATATCGCTTACTCATAAAATAGTAAGTGAATGGATTACAAGTTGCCGATGCAAATGAAAATATCAAAATTATATTCACTACAACAGTGGGTACTTGTTTATAGATACTTTTCTGAAATGCACCAATTGTATGAAAAATGAACAATGGCGTCCAACAAATAAAAAATTCAAGAATAATTGCGATAAGAATTTTCAATGCTTTACGACGATTTTTGTCTAAACGATACGCTTGTGATGATGATGAACGACGCAATGTATCGAGAAACCGATGAAATTTTGATGATGAGGATTTCTTGTGGTGTTCACGACGATGATGATTGTTAGTACTGTCTTTTGAACTTGATCGAAAACCAGGATGAGATGTTGTACGTATTCGATTAAATTGTTGTTTAGATTTTTGTTCAATTATTGATAATGGTATTTTAATATCGGTATTACCCATATTTTTTGGCCATGAAGATGATACAAAATCGACATTGTTATTACAATTAACATTACCATTGCAATAAACTTCATCATCTGATCGTGAATTATTCGACTGATTACTTGTTTTTGATGATAAACGACGAAGATCATGATTTACATTATAACAGACTGCTGAAGATTTTATATTACCGGCCAACGGAAGATTTTCACTACTATATGTTTGAGCATTAGCTGGACAGATATCACCATGGGTAGAGGTATAAAATAATGGACTTGGTTGTGGCGGAGTAGAACTACTCGAACGAGTTTTACTCTGATAACTAGCTAGAATAGAGTGACAAAAAATAACAACAATGTCATATGGATCACGTCTGGTATAATGATAACAAATATCAGACATTAATTTTAATTAAATGACTTATTTACTTTGAAATGATCTCATCCTCATTGCTGTACTATTTCTGTACATCTTACACCCGATTAGAGTGTATAATACTAACATTACAATCATTGGAATCAAAAAATAAAGGACTAAAACATAAACATAATAGTTATTTTAAATTCATCTCATTAAGTGTATACATAATACTTACTTAACAATGAAAGCATATATGATTTATCACTAAATTTTTTTGGTGATTTTTCACATTTATGTTTACCAACGGTTTTCAGTGGTTTATATTCATACATATAAATATTTGGAAGGGCTGTTAATATACCAATAATCCATATTCCCACTAAAATAAGACCGTTCATTAATGAGCCAAGCGGAAGTGATTGAAGTTTTAAAATTAAAAGTGGACGACAAATGGCAATATAACGTTCAATACTAATACAAACTAATGTGAACACACCCACAGCAACACTCAAACCTAAAATAAAAATATTAAGCATTGCGGAGATCAAATCAATGAGACATAAATAAATTATTCAATTTCTTTAGATGATAAGAAAATATCAATAACAGATGAACCAACAATAGCTCTGTAAAGTTTTGTGTGAACTATACTACTATGTTTCTACTCATATGTATGCATAAGGTTAATTACATAAGAAAAAGTGTC